AGGGTTATACTCTCTATTGTACCGTCGTGAAACGCTTGATTTGCGAGGGTGTGATTTGACTCTTGGTTATAATGGCAACAGGGTTAAACACATAATTTGAGGACGGCTTTGTGTAGGCCTGTGCTAACTAAAGCTCATTTAGTCCTTAAGGTTTTTTCCACTTTCCCTGAAGTGGTTATACGCAGCTCTCGTGAGGTAAAGGGGGGTGTAAGTAAAAACTCAAAGTCAAGCTGTTTATACAAACAGTCAGTGGCCCTTAAAGTTGAAGTGAGTGGTGGAATCTGTGGAATATGTTGCTTCTTTTTATTAATTGGGGTGTTATTTACTCAAATAAACAACAAAGTGAAAATTCATCGCCCTCCCTGTTTCTCAGGAGAAAGTGTGTGTGTGTGTTGGGGGTGGTGTTGGGGGGGGTGCGGTGTTTCCCTGACATACCAGGACTAAGTGCCTTCGGCGTGAACTCTCCCGCAATGCTCCATGATCCAAAATGCTGGATCAGATTCAGCCTAGTGACTCATTGGCTCCCATTGTGTTAAAATACCTCTTCAGTTCAGAGCCGAGGGCAGCAGAGAAAGGCAGACAGAGAGGGAGAGAGATGGTAATTAGAAGCGGCTGTGGGGTGAGGGATGTCCTGTTTAGCGTGTAGATGGTGGGCTGCTCCCTGCTGCATGGAAATGAACATGAAAGAGCCTCCGGTCTTGATTTACGGACACATAAGAATGTTTTGTAGCTTGTGCAAAATCAGTGGCAGTCTCGATTGCTGGGCAGTAAGGCTGTGTGACAAATCGTGTCTTTATCATCATTGCAGTGTGAGATTCTGCGATAAACACATCTGGGCTGTGACAACAGAACAGACCAGATTGCATTACAGACATGTGGCAACAGAGTGACATAATTATATAGGAGGGAATGTAACATGGCCTAATATTAGTGCATCAGTGTGCTTGGCTGAGTGGCACCACAATAGTGAATACTGAATTTATTCTTTGATTCTTTTGGTATTTTTGTGTTTGCAAAAAGAAGAAGTCACAGTAATGTTCTGTTTATCCAGATGCAGGAAGATTCATATCATATAGGCAGAATGTTGTTATAAAGTTGAATAAACTTAAAAATTTTACACAGGATTTAAAAAAAAAGCCTGAATTTGCTACACATTCAGTCAGAGTCACACTAAAATTATATATTTTAATCTTAATTTATCATCGCGATATCCAACAACTTTGTCAAACATCAGATTTTATGCCCAAATGATTTCGACCAAAATACCTTTATTTTGATTATATTTGTAGAAATTGCCATTTGCAATTATGCCTTGCAATCTGATAGACTCATTGGTGGGCTATTCATGTGGCCTGGTTAGCAGTTTGGCTGCATATTCTGACCAAAATAATGTACTTTTGTAGGATAACATGATGTATTGTACAATATGTCTTGTAGATATATTGTAGCCTTTTGATATCAGTATTTCAAAAAACAATGACATAATAAAATAAAAAATACAAGATAACAAATACTGATATGGTCAGTAGTTAATAATACTAGCGAGGGATTGTCGCTGATGTAGGACCCACATGCAAATTTCTCAATCTTTTAACTTTGCATACCAAATCTGATGCCTTTGACTTTGAGAGATGGAGAGAGAGAGAGAGAGAGAGAGAAATAGAAAGGCGCAGACAGACTTTTTAAAATTAAAAATAACAGATTCTTTCCCGTCCTTAATATATGTGTATGTGCGGAGTTCATGTTCATGTTAAGAAGAGCCATTTCGTCCTTTCAACAAAAATCAAACCTCTTCGGGAGCCACAACATTTTATGTCCATTTTACCTTCTTGGCTGTAAATATGTCTCAGTATGTGCTGATGTGCTAGTATAAGCTAAAACATATATAATAAAAAAATCCTTACTGTGCTCTGCTTTAAGCTTTAGCTCAGCTATAGCTGCTTTTCTCGCATCTCAGGCAGGAAACTTTTCATCAAAAGTAGAACAGTTTCTTGTAAAATGTCTCTGAACGTTCTTTTACGAGGCTGAAGTCGCTTCTCATTCTCCAGCTTTTTGTTTGTGTTATTCCGTTCCACCTTAAATGGTGCCTGAGGCACCAGAGTCTAACTGCAGCGCCATTTAAGGTGGAACGGGGCAGTTCGAACAAGAAGCTGGTGAACGAGAAGCAACTTCAGCCTTGTGACTTTTTAGTGTTTGACAGTTTCTCATTGCAGATTAAACGTATCAGAAACCAGCTGGAGTGATTATAAATGCAAATAAAACAATTTGTCTCTAAATTATCGATATTTGTCTTAAATCTTTTGTCTTTTCTTTCTCTTTGCTGCTAGTAAAAAAAGACTGTTTTCTGCGTTGCTATGTGACCAGCAATCTGTGCGCCAGTCTTCAGGGTTGAATTAGCAGATAGAGGATACATTAACTCCAGTGTTTGAGACCATTTATTGTTATAATTGTGAAAGGAGGATTATTTTATTTGTACCTAAAAATTCTGCTGTGGAGCCGGAACAGGGCAGTAAAAGAGCCGCATATTACCAACCTGGCCTGAAGTACAGCTTTAAAATGTTTTATTTTTTTTTAAAATAGGATTCATACAGACACATTTTTGCACTCACACTTTACATTTCAAGGGCATCTTTTTTGGGGCATTTTCATTCAAGATCTTCTGAGATTGTCTGAAATAGCAGGATGGGTAAATATAGGTGTGCTGCAGGAGGGAGAGATGTTGATCTGCAGATTCCAGCGTTCTCCGTTTGTGTCTGAGGGTATTTCCATTGCGCCGTGGCTGCAGTAGAGCCCTGGCTCAGAGGAGGAACAGCAGGATCATTAACTCTGCCCTCCGGCCCCAGACCAGGAATGCGCGTATCACCTGTCAGCAGGAGTAAGCAGATCATGCGCACTCCGCCTAGGAAACTTGAACAAGGCGCAGGTCATAAGGGACAAACTCGGCCTTCTCTGCCTGACCCGTTTCTCAATGCTCCCAGTGTCCTCTTTCCACTGTCTTGGGTTTACATTCAGAATGAGCGAGGACACTCAGCAGTGCTGTGTTTATACAAGACACAAGGCATACAGGATATTTACTTAGATGAGGGTTGTCACAAAACCAGACTTTAATCCTGAGACTAAGTGTAGTATCACTTTATTCAATACCAGCATCCAACTGTGGCGAAAGATAATAGGGCCAATATCCTACGTTTTTCTGTGCACTTATAGTGTTTATGAGGTTTTATTTACCGAAAAACATCATAATTCATTTGTACGATTTTCCAACCTCTCTTTTATCCTTTAGAATTAAACAGGCTGTTTCTGTTACTGTGCCTTTGGGACTCATATATGTAAATGACCTCTTTGTCTCATTGGCAGCCCTGTGTTGGGCCTTATTCAAAAAAACAGCCCAGGCTGAAACACTGCTTATTACTTCAGTGTAAATGGGTGGGGCTAAAATTAATTTGTTTGTGTGACGTCACGAAAACCTAATTTAAGTTTAGATTCAAAACAGGCTGTTTTGTGCATTATCTTCCACATATGGACTGTAGAGTGAATAGTATGTGTTCATAATTATGTTTATATCCAACATCAAACTCTTATTTTAAAAATTTGAGAAAAAAATATTCAGAAAAACTGAACACTGCGTAATGTTTATATTTATGGCTTAATTAACTCTCTTTTATCAGTACAAACATCTTCAGATGCCTTCAGAACAGTCAAACTAAATCATTTCAAACATGACCCTGTTGATTGTGTCCGAGGGAAGATTAATGGGGCTTCACACTACATGCGTTTTTCCGAAATAGTAACTTTACAATGTAAAGTTGTAATATTCATCCAAGACAAATTAGTATGTGCAAATGAATTTGTTACAGGCAGAATATGTCAACACAGTGTTAGCCTATTTAGACAATGAATTGAATTATTTACCATGTTGCATTATTGAAAAAAGCACTGAACTTTCATTACATCAATGCTAAAATGCACAGTAAATATGCGCATAGTATAAACATCTTTGTCTGTTTATGCCTCTCTAAATCAGTGCTTCCCATTTCTGTGGCTGAACTTCCCCCTCTTTGTGTATTTTGGTGTTTTCCTGCTGTTACACATCTGACAAAACACATCAGCTTAGTCCCAAATCCTTCTTTAAATGGAATTCATCCAATTTTTCAGAGTTTCTGCATAAATTGTGCATCGAGATGTAAATAAAGTCAGTTGAAGTGTTTCATATGTGAATTCGTTCATTGCAGAGAAGACTTCAGATTTCTTTGCAGTGGTTGTGATAGGAACCAGGGTTCACAGTATCTATATAGCACATTTAAACACAAGTATAGCCATTTTATTTACTGTCCGAAGCAATAAGGTTTATATGTGATGTTGATGATGGTAATATAGTGGTAAATCTGAAAAAAAAGGTTTTCTTTTAAGGACCATTTTGCCTGTATTTTAAAACATATGCTCAAACCTATTGTGAAACATTGTCTTACTGTGGTATCAGGCAGTGTATTTATAATCGTTTTGTGTAATAACTTCCTGTGAGGGAGCTTTTAGAGGCATTGGACACTTTGGATGTCTGGTTCTCATCACCACCACTGTGAACAATTCTGACTCACTAAGTTTCTCTAGAAACATCAGAATCAGTGGTTTGATATGAAATGCTTCTCTAGAAGCCATTCACGTCAAACCACTCTGAATAACTTGGTTTACATCTTAACCATTTAATCATGCAGAAGTTTAGAAAAATGGGTGGAACTCTGCTTTTAAGGTTAAATTTGATGTATTGAAGGAAGAAAAGCACTGAAAATGGTTGATACAGAGTTGCTCTAAGACTAGGATTGGGGAACTGCTCTAATACATTATCTGTTCCCTGCAGGCATTTTCAGAATCATGTAGCAGCCATAAAAGACTTCCTCATGCTGGTCTTCCTGAACCGTTTAAAGTTGAGTCTCTTGTTTCCTCACAACGTTAAGCTCCTGGATGTTCCGCTCACTCTCGATTTCCCTGTTTCTGCTCCTCAGGGGAGATTGTGGTGAATGAAGCGAACTTTGTGCGGAAGTGCATCGGGGCGGACAGCAGTCAGGACGACCTGTGGGGGAAGCTCATCTGCACCAACTTCAAAGTGTCCTTCGTTACCCATGATTCCCTGCCACAACAGGTAAGCTCAGTTGGCTGATATTCATATGTAGTTATTTTATTTTATGTAGGACCCAGATGTGTAATTATACCACATGTAGAGGGAAAAATGATACTTTCAGTGGGAGGACTGGGAACTTTGTGGAATTATCACCTGTTTTGGTACTTCCACAAGTAAACAGGTGAACAGTTAACAGGTGATGCTGTGCTGTGATGACCATCTTCCATCTCAGATTCAGAGAATGTGTAAAGGGCAAGGCTGAAAACCGATATTGAATGCCTCTGACCTTCAGATGGAACTGCATTAAAAATTGACCTGCTTCTGTAGTGAATGTAACCACACTGGCCTGGGAATACTTTGGAAAACAATTGTCAGTCAACACAGTTTGTTGCTTCATATACACAGGTCAGTTAAAATTCTACTACGTAAATTGGAAGCCCAAAACAATTAACAACATCCAGAAACACCGCCGACTTCTCAGGGCAAAAGCTCATCTGAGATGGCCTGACGTCAAGTGCAGACGTGCTCTGGTCTGATGTGTCTATCTTTAAATTGTTTTTGGAAAAAATGGATGTGATGTTCAAATGAGGAAAAGGATCTCAATGACTGTTACCAGCGTAAAGTTGAAAAGCCAGCATCTGTCCTGGTATGGAGGTGTGTTAATGGTTAATTTGCACATCTGTGAAGGCATTACTGCTGAGAGGTACATACACATTTTAGAGTAATGTATGCTGCCATCTAGATGGCATCTTTCTCAGGGTTGTCACTGCTTGTTTCAGTAAAACAATGCCAAGACACATTCTGCATGTGTTACAGCAGTGTGCATAAAAGAGTGCAAGTGCTAGACTGAAAACATTTGGGGCATTATAAAGCGCAATATACGACCACAGAAACCCCAAACTGCTGAGCAACTGAAGTGTTATAACAAGCAAGAATGCAGAAAAAACCTACTTTCACAACTTGTCTTTGTACTGTTTCCAGTTAAATACAGGTTGAAAAGAATTTCAAAATCATTGCTGTCTGTTTTTATTTACATTTTTCTTACTGTCCCAACTTTTTAGGAATTAAATTTGAATGTTTTTCAGTGTCACTGTCTCTTCTCAGAGAGGTGGGTCTGGTTTATAGCATGTTTCGAAGTGTAAGTAGGGTGGGGTTGTTGCATAACTTGTTTAAGAGCGTGTTTATTCAGGGTTTTTGCCGCTCACCATCAGAAGAGGTTTGACAGAGTGCTTAAAAAGATGTCTTGTGCAAAGCTTGGCTAGATATACTTTTGCACATGTTGTTGAAAGCACTTAAAGGGCTTCTGTGAATCATTAAAAGAGCTTTTGTGTAAGTGGGTATCTTCAGAAAGGAGAAAATAATTAACCATTTGGTTAGTCTTCCACTGAACTCTGCTAAACAGTGAGGAACCTGTCAGACACAAGGCCTTATTTGCTGATTGGCTAGTTATATTATAACTGCTTGATGATGAGTATAAACTAGTACTGAGTCATCATCTGAAGTCAGCTGACTGTGGACTTAATTTAGTAGCTCATTTATTGTAAATGTTTGGTGTGTTTGATGAACTGTTGTACAGTTTAACTGAAGTTGCAGTATCTTTATTCACATGTTTGAAAGATTCACCTGGTACCCATGGTAGATTGTATTTTATTTCATGTGATTGGAATCATACTGCTGTAAAATAAATACTTTAAAATAGCAATAGAAAACGGGACAAAATAATGTTGGCTTAATTCATTATAATGTTCTTTCTTTTGCTGTTCAGAGGTTCCAGTGCACCCACCGGCTGCTGGGAGAGCATGACATCCCCCTAGCATGTGTGGAGCAGGTTGTAACTGGTAAGACATCTTCATTCTGGAACAATATATACACACGTTGTCGCTGTCCAAAGAAAAACAAGAATCTCCAAAATCGTAACTTTAAAAGAGAGTACAAAAACGTTCATTACTTTTAATGTACATAATGTAAAGAGATTTTCTGGAGCCGTTTTGGAGCATTTCTGGAGCATTCAACATGAAATTTTCACACAATGTAAAGGACAGCTGCTGTTCTCAAATGTTGCAAAAAAGTAAAAATTGAAAAAAAAATGGAGATGTTTTTTCTTTGGACAGTGATGATATTTTATTCCTGTGTATTCCTGAATATTGTGCCTTTTTACTGTGCAGTTATCCATCTATAGCCTCTGTACATACTCTGGAGCTGCCATAGACATTGCCATTGTTTGTAAGTGGTGTCATTATAAACAACAGCTTGTTGAATGTTGTGGAAAGCTGGTGCATTCAGGCCAAGTGAAATTGAGTAATGTGAATGTAAAAAAAGTGCCCGTCATGCAGCTGCCATAGAGACCTCTGAAGTCATGTTGTCATTCTGTAGTCTGTGTCATGCTCATGTCAGGTTTTCTGCGGTTAACTAAAATGTTGCAAAGCCAACACATTTTGCTCTATGGACGTTTGTCCTCCAAATGTCACTGGTTCCTCTGAAATGCAACGTCATTAAAGAGCTGAAATACGACTATTGCTGCATACAAGCTAGTGCTGTTGCTCACTGAACCAACATCAAAACTAGCAACCTCACCAAAATACCCCACACAAACCAGCAAGCTTTGTCAGATGTGATAGTTTAGAGGCTTTGGCAGTTTTAGGCTGCAGTTTGAGTAGCTGGTAATGATATTCAAGTGTTGAAGATTATTACTAGACTTACTTTCATGCAGCGTCATTTTAGTGAGCAGTGTTGACTTGCTGTAGCATGTATGTAACATCATTCATATTTTGACTGCTGAACAGCCTCAGACAATCCAGTGACACTTGGTGGAAAAATGTACACAGGACAGAACATATCAGTTTCGGAGCATTTATGTTTACCGTGTGCAACAGTGGTGATTTTCAAAATGTATTTCTGTCATAGAGAAAAACTGCTTAGGTTCGAATTTTCTGATATGGGCATGTTGTAGACCACAGACGAGTTTTTGTGATGTAATACATTTGACTGAGAGTCTTGTTCAGATGCAGCCTGTAAATAGCAAAATGTTCCACAAATGGCTCAATCTCTTGATTAGAGGTGGGCCGAGCAGCGATTTGTGAGGTTGGTGCCGATTGCTGATTGTCCTTTAGCACGATTGGCCGATGCTGATTCCAGTCAGGGGCGGGGAAGGTATGATGTGAACCTTAACTACCCAGGCAAAGACACCAAACATGGTTTAAATTGGTTTACAACCCTAGCATTGCAGCAATGTCAGTGACATTAACCCTGGAGGATGCTCTCAGCAGCCTGCGCTGGACAGTGCTTGTGGAAGACCTAATGAACAGACAAACAACAACACACTAAAAAATGATGCTTCTTTAGTAAAGAAAATGGTTCTACATAGAACCATGAACATTCGAAGAGCTCTTTCCATGATTAAAGTGTGTTTTGCATTGTGAAAGCATTCTTCAGACTGACGGAGAATGTGCTATAGATGATTCTATATAGCACCTTTTTTGAAAAGGGTTCTATATAGCACTACAAAAGGGTTCTTCTGTTGTTACAATGTCTGGCTTGTTACAATAGAATACTTTTTGGTGCTGTTAATTTTCAAAAAGGTTCTATATAAAACCATATACAGCACATTCTCCATCAATCTTAAGAACCCTTTTACAATGCAAAGAACCTTTCAGTCATGGAAAGGGTTCTTTGAGTGTTCATGGTTCTGTGCAGAACCATTTTCTTTACTAAAGAACCCTTGAAGAACCAAGTGTGAAAAGCAACAGCAAAGTAGAAAACTACAGTTTCACGTGAATCAAGAAGTGATGTGGTGGTGAGAGCGTGAGAGACCTACAGTCGCAGAGGAACTGAGCAGTCGCTGTTGATCTCATAGATCTGTGGTCAAAATTGCAAACTGTGTTCTCTCTATTTTCATGTTCACCCTGGGTTCACCGGGTGAACATGAAAATAGGACAGTTTACAGACTCAGATTCATGTGAAGTCACCATGCAGTTGATGAAGCTTATTTTATTCAATCATATAGCTATAAGAAAATGCACTACTTTGTAAATGGGGAAAAATCTCAGTTTGGGGTCAAATTTGAGCAACAATCAAGATTAACTACACAAAATAATGTCATTAATCATGACTAATTATTTACATTGATTGACAGCTCATATATATGTATGTTATTCTGTTCTATATACTGTGGCTACAGTGTTCTGACTAGCCCAACACTTAAGTTGCATTACTAGAAGGTCATTGTTGTCTCACGCCTGTGAACGGCTGTGAAAGACTAACATTTGGTGGCTCCTCTGTCAAGAATTAAGATGGCAAACACTGTTTGCAGGTCCTGCCTGACTTGGTTCCAAAAAAAAAGTCCCGCAGTGATTCTTGACATATATGTACAGTTCTAGAAAAGCCTTGTAATTGGTGTAGAACCTTTACAGTATAAGGACGTTCTTTAAATTTTAAGTTCCTCACTTTTGCACATCTCATTTACAGAAAGGTCACTTTACATTGAAAGGTTCTACAGGGAGCTGATAGTGGTGCTTCAGTGGCATCACTCCAAAAATCTGAAACCTTTTTGACAGCTTTATTTTTAAGAGTGTGGAATGTTTCGCATGACAGGTATGAGACCTGCTGGGTGGCAGCCTCTATTTCACTGTCTGAACACACAGACGTATATAGCGATCCAGTACAGTTACGTATTAATCGTCTTTAGTCACAGCAGTGAGTGACATCGTTTTAGAACTGGAACTATGAAAGGCAGGTTGTGTTTAAGTTTTTGTCTGCTTCTTATTCTCTACATTCAGCCTGAATTGGTCCATTCAATCTCCCACTGTTCAAAGAATATTCAGATATATATTCACATTAAATTATATATCAGTTATTCTCTCTCTCACTCTGTCTCTCATTCTTTCTCACGCTCTCTCCCCTCTCTCTTTCTCTCTACCTCTTTCCATTTCTAAAAGTGTTTGTTCTAGGCTTACAGTCGAGCCTGTATTGCGGATGAACTAATGTAACCCATCCTGCTCTGTTTTTGTCCTGCTGTCTCTAAAGGCTGCAGTATTGACTGTGCGGAGCAGCAGAACCTGTTTGGGTGGCTGACCGTCCCTCCCCTGTTAGCTGGGCTGTTTTTAGCTGAGCTGCAGATGAGATCATTGGCCCAGACTGTGGCCCAGTGCTGCAAAGCCTGGCTGGGATTAAGCTTGTTTGTGTTAGATCATTGCCTCCTCTCTTTGCTGACTTAGCCCCCCAAGACTCGAAGCCTTGTGTAGAACTGATAGAGCATGAAGCAGAGCGTGTGTGCGAATGTGTGCACAAATGTGTGTGTGTGTGTGTGTGTGTGTGTGTGTGTGTGTGTGTGTGTGTGTGTGTGTGCGCATGCTTGTTTTTCATTTACTTTTAGGACAGAAATGTCCTTTTTTTCAGGCAAGACCAAAGGCTCCTGAAAATGTTTAATGTTTAAAAATGTAAAGAGTAAAACTAGGTTTAGGTTCAAGTTTAGGCTTAGAACTCTCTTTTTACATATAAATACTTATTTCTATTTAATTCATATGTGGACATTTTGTTCTTCTTCTTATTATTTTTATTATTATTGCTTATATATATATATATGTATGTGTGTATGTATGTGTGTGCGTGTGTGTGTGTGTACATATATATATGGTAAATATTGAACATATTACATGTAGGTGCTTCTGTAGGTGTAATTATTATTGTTTATAGGTACCTACATGTCCCTATCAAAAAACACTTTTGTACACATTTTGTAAGTCATTTAAACGGTTTTCATTGGTCTTTTTGTCATGAAAGTTTGTCACAATGTAAACAGCAGTAGACATTTTTTTAAAATTATGTAAGAACAAGAAAAACGACAAAAATGAGCAGATGAGTTTTTCCAACAACAATATATACATGTATATTTGTGTGTGTGTGTGTGTATATCGCTGTTGACAGAACTATCTCCAAAATGATAACTTTACAGGAGAAGAAAAAAACCTACTTTGCTTTTAATGTAAGTCAATGGAACCAGACTTTTTTCCAAGTAATTTTGGGCTGTTTCTTTTGGTTGATTCGTCATGAAATTTACACAATATGTAAAGGATATGCAAATTATGTCAAAAACTGAAAAACAACAAAAAAAGAGATGAGGTTTTGTTCCAACAACAGCTACATATATATATATATATCTATAAAAGAAAACACATGGGACATACTGTATGTGGGTACTTACGTATATATGATACATATGAAACATATTACTACATATAGGTCCTTACATGTTTAACACCTGTGAGACATGGGACATACATATGGGACAAATTTGACCCTGCGTCCAGACACTGTACAAAAACAAGTCTGTGTGTATGTGTATTTGGGGAGGGGCTTTCTGTGCTGTCTGTGTGCCTCCAACAAAAGTCCATTATGAGCGGCTGAGGGTTGACAAAAGCGCTGCAGGTTCTTTTCAGTGCCAGTTAGCAGTGCAGAGTGAAAGTCTGTTGGACGCTGTTCTCATAACGTATTAAAACCAAAAAACTGAACTGCGCTCATATTTCAGAAGCTTCATATGACTAACTTCCACTTTATCAAAGTGAAGCGCTAGTGTGGCCTCTCCCCAAAACATAGTAGATTCAGTTTTTGTTAGCTGTAGTTCGGGTTTTAATGTTCGCTGTTTAAGTATTATGCTGAGGAAGTGATATTTTAGGCTTGATTTTGATGAAGTCCAGGCTGTAAGAGAGAAATTTACTATGTTAAGTGGTTTCAAATGTGTTGCCTAATGACTGAGACCTAGTTTTATAATAGTTTTAGCATATTGGCATAAAAGCATATTATTTTAAAATCAATTATTGGCAAAAAAGTACATGCAGGGCGCTGTAAGGCAAAACAGTGCCCAAAGAAAACCTTTGGCTGCTGTCACCACTGTTGTAAATGAAAATATTAAGTTATTGTTTCTCTATAATGCACAATTTCACATCAGACCTCTATGAATGAATGTTTACAATGACAGAATTATGCAAACTCTTTAGAAATATAATACATTTACGCATATTTTGGTGTCTGGAGTTTTGCTTCTGTAGTTTTGCAGTGGAGCTAGGAAGCTAATATAGCAAACAAGTAATGGAAGCTTATAGGTACTCATTAGCATTGCGCCAGCTGCATGCCTACTTCATCACACACTTACCTCAAACCATTTCAAATTGTTAAGTAATCCCAAATAGACTTGCCAAAGTGGTGTCTGACACTGTGTGTACATTAAAATGGTCAAAAGACAAGTCCAGACAAAATTGAGGCTACTAATGTTTTTAGCTGTGCGATATCCATAAGGACACAGCTAAGACGTGGTGTAGACACCGTTTATGGCAACGATTCCCAACTCTGGTTCTGGAACACACCTGCCCTGAATATGTTGGTGTGTTGAAAAACTAATAAATAATAAATAAACTTGGCATCTGGGGGTAATTTAATTGGGCAATGCCCCACCAACTACATCATTATGCGCCACTAAATGTTGCTGATTTAATTAATTTTGTGTTTTATTATCATCAATTAGAAGTTTTGATGATGCCATCATCATGCATATTGTAAAGTCTTGCAATATCAGCCACCACATCAAAGCAATGCTTGTTAACCTCCTCAACTCCTTGAGACCACCGGTGGTTCCAAAACGCACTTCATCATATTTTGTTATAACTTTCATATTTCATAAGCTACATTCAAAAGGTGAGTTTTGTATGAGAGCAGTGCTCATATAAGATGGGTAATTTTAAACCCTTATAATAAAAGAAGCTGAACTCACAATTGTTTTTTTTCTACTGAAAGTCGACCCATTTTTCCACAAATCTGGGCTATAAACTATAAACAGACGGCGTCTCTTCAGTGATCTGTAAAAATTATTTATATAAAATAATACAAAGAGCGTCTAAGATTTTTGGCTTTCAGCAGTAAATTGTAAGCATATAGCAATATGTGTGATCATAAAACACACGTTCTGTTAATTTGAGGGGACTTTTACAAAATAAATAAATAAATAAAATAAAAATTTACATTCATTTCATGCAGTTACTGAATAATTTGCCTTACGATTTGGTCACGTAAATTCAGATGGACAAACCGAATATACCCTGAAGAATAGTAATAGTTTTTCATCTTGTAATTTTTGAGATAGTTACTGGCACTGAGGTGGACACAGTGAGCAAACAGAGACAGCACATAACACGAGCTGCAGCGTCATCTTTGTATAATAGAAAGAACACAATGAAAGTGTAGCGTAGTAAAAGTTGCACTTGTAGTATATTGTTAGTCTTTAATTTGGCCAAAAAACTGTAATTAATCTAGTAATACAGAAAAGAATAATATATTGTCCATTTAATGGCTGGTCGGTTTATCACAGAGGAAGAGAGAGAAAGAGAATGAGGGGGATTCCTTCTAAGAACAATTTGAGCAGGTGACTTTGAGGAATTTGTGGAGTCCTCCATTGGTTGACCATTATGGTCATGGGGTGTAGTATGAGAGGAGTTTCATAACAATAACAGAACTTGTGGTAAAGGCTACTGAGGGCTAAGAAAAAGGAAGAGATACGAAAAGGTAGCATGAGCCCTGACCACTTCGCATTTAATATACTTGCATGTTGACTTGACTTCTTTTTTTCCCCTCAACCATGTTGTTGATGCTGCCCAACCCTTTGATATTAAAGCCTCTATTTTTGGTTTACAGATACTGTTTAATATATATTTCTTCCCGTTTTTATTCTGCAGTAACTGCCAGTTTAAACAGATAGCTGATGTGTGTCTTGTGTCTGTGTGTTCCTCTTTGCAGTGAATGATGCTAAGGGTAAGCAGAAGATCCTGGGCTGCAATAAGAAGCTGAAGTTCAACCCCACTGAATTGATACTGTACTGCAAGGACTTCCGCATCGTCCGCTTCCGCTTTGATGAGGCCGGGCCTGAGAGTGCTAAGAAGGTACACACACTCAAACCTCTGCAAGACCGGCAAAGTAAAATCCTGCCAGACACGGTGTCCAAATATCTATAAAAATAGTTGATTTTCAGTTGAATTTAGGCTGTAGCCACTGCACACTGAGCCAGATAAACCTCCTAACCTTTGGGTTATTTTTGTCTCGCCATTCACCACTAACATTACAACACACTTCCACCATTCCTTATATTAAAAGGCTTATGTTTTGTCCTAAACCTAGGTACATATACTGAAGGAATCATTTTTTCAGTAACCACACACTTTGGTGGACTCTTTAGTAAAGAAAATGGTTCTGTATAGACATTTGCCTGATTAAAGGGTTCTTTGCATTGTGAAAGGGCTCTTCAGATTGATGGAGAATGTGCTGTAGATGGTTCTGTATAGCACCTTTTTAAAAAGGGTTCTGTATCGCACCAAAAAGTGTTTTTCTATGGGTAAAAGCTTGACATTGTAACAACAGAAGAACCCTTTTTGGTGCGATATAAAACCCTGTTCAGTCAGGTGCTATATAGAACCATCTACAGCACATTCTCCATCAAGCTGACGAACGCTTTCACAATGCAAAGAACCGTTTATTTGGAAATCTTTCTATCTCTGCCTTGTTTACTTGATGCTGTTGGGGAGCAGTTCAGGTTTGCCGCTTGTGCCGCGTTGCTTCGGTTTAAAATTAGACAGGGCTTAAGAACAGGTGCTTTGAAGCCATGTTTTTTTTTCTTTTAGAAAGAGTTTTAGGCTGTTGGAGAGTGTGCAATTTATAGTATGTGGTCTACCCTTACACATCATGCGAAACCATGTTTTTTTTTTTTTTCATTAAAATTATATTATCAGCATAAAAAATGAAATGTAAAGTAGAATGTTTACATGAAATTCAGAATATTTGGTTTGTCTCCGTTTTGCTGTAATGACAGTGTGCACTCAAGCTGGCATGGATTCCATAAGTTTGTACAAAAACCTCTGATCAGTAGATCAAGTCCACCTGAGATTCATCTGAACATGTGTTTCAGTGGAAGGAATAAACCAAACAAATCTGGCCTTTTGTACAAAGGCCTTAAGGAGGTGAATTTCAGTGACCTAGAAACAGTGCAGTGTTCTTCATTTTATCATAACTTTTGGTGGTTTTCAGTTTTTCAAGATTCTAAAACAATTTTATGTTGTTTGTTTCCAGGCTTAAATGAAAGAAATTCAGATTTTCAGTGTGTGGTCTCAGACTTCTGGACTCCATTGTATGTGTTTACATGTAATAGTGGGCAGTACCTTAGCTCTCAGTCAGCTGCATCAGCTGCGCTACAAGCCTTGGACCAGCTGGTACTAAAGCTTGCATGACTGTGATATTTTCCAAATTCCAGCCGTGTCTCATGGTCGGAGGCCAGAATGTGCAGTACACACGTTTGAGACAAGTGACTTGAGAAATTCTGTAAAGCTAAGATCGGCTGTAATTCACATTTCTTATTCCACTTTAAATGGTGCAGCAGTTACATTCAAGCACCTGTACATTTAAGGTGGAATGGAAAATTTGAGCAAAAAGCTGCCAAATAAAGAGCCAACTTCAGCGTTGTAGAAATTCAGATGTGACTCAACATGTAGGAGCAAATGTTGACATAGATCCCAAAATAATAAGCCACTGTTGATTTTTCAAAAGTAGGTTTACTTAAGGATCTAAAATGGTTTTATTTGGAAAAAATAAACATAAATGCAGTAAAAAGTAGTTAGAAGAACAAAATGTGGTTCCAGGTTTTTCCTTGTTGCACTCAGCCTGTTTGCATTTAATATTATGAAATATTGATTAGCCAGAACAAGCACTGAATAATAATATTTTGGAAATGGTTAAATCAGCATACTGACATATACCAAATCACAACTTACTGTATTAATGTTATTTGTACTTATTACTGCCCACATAAATAACTTTTTTTGTTATATATAGCTCATTAATGTGACAAGCAAATGACTGTTATATATATATATATATATATATAGATATATATAATATATATATATATATATATATAGTGTATGATAATGCTAAAGAAACTGACAGATGACAGAACAGTTCTGTATTTGTTAGTGTGTAGATATTTGTACACATGCTACTTTTTGGACCTAACGCACGTGCGTACACACGCCGCATGATTCTTCCGAGTTGGGGATTAGCCTGTAAGAGGATTCAGAGCTCAGCTGATGTATTTACTCACTGTGTTTTATGGTGCTTCTGTTAGTCAGGCCAAAAACAAAAAAAAACTTGTCAAGCTTTCCTGTCTGCTTTTAGTTTCTACTTTTTGGACTGAAATGTTTCTGAATTAATTTGTTTCAGTTCGCAGCAGATTTGTCAACTGCAAATATTTATGCTGCGAGGATTTCTTTCATCGTGGCCCAGCTACACAGACAGAATAGTGCAGTAACCTTCATTTGAACTTGTGCGCTGGGCTTTGCAGCAGTGCTGCGAAAGGACAACTTTGTGTTTTCCCCTCTTCTCTGTAAGTTGGAGTGGATTATAGTTAGTCTGCTCACCCGGGCACCCTTCCTTTCATCCTGTTCCTCCATCTGGCCCACAGTGAGCCTGTAGTGGAGCTGGAATTAGCACTGTCTGTCTAGGAGGAAGAGCCAGTGTGGGACCAATTTTTCCCTGCTCCACCCAGCTGGCTGGGACACAAACGTTCCCTTGCTTTAATTGAAAAAAGACCAAATCATGAGCCGTTCTGTTGGCTCTGAAGAGCATCAGTGCAACTCAAGTTTCTCTACGAATTAAACCTTGCTGATTTTGCTGATATGAATATATTTTAGGTGATAATTTGTTGCCGTTTTAACTAAATGCTGTATCTTCTAAGAAGGGTAACTTTATAGTGGGAGCCAAATACAAATACTTAAGTTTAATGTATGTTAAAGGGCCCATACTGTGGCCCTTTTTTTGAAATAAAAGTGTTTGATGTAGTATGTAAACATGGCTAAAGTTGCAAACCATACAATTCATTTCCTAGTCAGTGTGGTGCTTTTATGGAAATTAAGCTGCAAAAACAGCCTGTTTTAAATGAATTGCTTTTGTGATGTCACAAAACCCACACCTTTTCATATCCACCTATTCAACCTATAGCAAGTTCGCTTCTCCCATTCACACTGAAGTTTAGTGAGTGGTTCAGCCTGGACTGTATAATAAATTACAAAAACATAAAAAAAGTGTAGGATATTGACCATTTAATATAAAAAATGTTTTTATTTCAAGTAATTATGGATCATTTCTGTTGGTCCAGTCTTCATGACATAGTCACACAAAATAATGGGCAGTTCTTTCTCTCATCCTTTCATCCTTAAATGGAGAAGGTTCCGTCCGCTGTGAAATATTTGGCCACATATTTCCACTAGAACGTTTTAAAGCTTTCTGTTCTAGATGGTCCGCTATGCTCTGTTGAGGAATGTGTCTCGGCTGTGTTATATCTGTCTTCCAGTTGAGTTTTTGCTGAAAGACATATTCACACGGGGTAGACCTGCACTCTCTGACTCACGCAGACCCTACAGACCCATCCTGTTGCCTCACAACAGCTGCTGTTGCCTGGAGACGTGGAACGTTGTGTAAAATGAACTGTACTGTCTGACTCATTGGCTGAAAGAAGCGAGTAACAAACTCCTATTCGTCACTCCTTCAGCGCAGCAGTTTTGATTGGCTCATTCGTTCAGTATGAGTCAGGGCAGGGATGAAAGCGTTCCACAGTATGTGAGGAATGGTTGTTAGTCATCAGGGAGGACAGGAGGTGCTAGTTTTTTCGAACATAGGGTTAGACGGTTGTTTACGTGTTCCCGAAGTGGAAAAAAAAGATGTGTTTCCCTTAGCAGTGGGAAAAGGAAGCAAGGCAGCGGTGGCTCACATGCTGTATGTGTGGGGTAAGCCAGTGTCCCTCGTATTAGTACTTAAGTATTCTACCAACTAAGGTGACGGTCTTAACTGATGAGTCATCAGGGGTTTTAAAACATGCCAAAAAATGAAAACTGACTCAACTGAAAAATAACAAGCTATGTACATTTCTGTGCATGTCAGAGGCCACTAGTCAAAACAGTCATTAAGTGCAAGTTCATCATTGTTCAGCATCAGGAAAAAAGCAGAAAACATAAAGAAAATTACACAGAAGCCTCAATAACTGAAAACGAAATCAGTTTGTGTGTCCACTGTGTGTCTGTAGCAATTTTTGCCCATTCATCCAGAAGAGCATTTGTGAGGTCAGACACTGATGTTGGACGAGAGGGCCCGGCTCACAATCTCCGTTCTAGTTCGTCCCTAAGGTGTTTGATGGGGTTGAGGTCAGGGCCAGTCAAGTTCTTCCACACCAAACTCACCCAGCCAGGCCTTCATGGACCTTGCTTTGTGCACTGGGGCTCAGTCATGCTGGAACAGAAAAGGGTCCCAAACTGTTCCCACAAAGTTGGAAGCGTACAGTTGTCCAAAATGTCTTGGTGCTGAAGCATTAAGATTTCCTGGAGCATTAAGATTTTACTGGAACTAAGGGGTCCAAACCCTGAAAAACAACCCCATATCATAATCCCTCCTCCACCAAACTTTACAGGTGGCACAGTGCAGTCAGGCAGGTAACGTTCTCCTGGCATTCGCCAGAGCCAGACTCGTCCTTCAGACTGCCAGATAGAGAAGGATGATTAGTCACTCCACACGTTTCCATTTTACAATTATACCACTTACAGTTGACTGAAGCAGACCTAGCAGGACAGAAATTTCACAGACTGACTTGTGGCAGAGGTGGCATCCTATGACAGTGCCATGTTTAGTCACTGAGCTCATTAGTAGGACCCTCTGCTGCCAGTGTTTGTCTATTGAGACTGCAAGGCTGTGTGCTTAATTTTATCCACCTCTTAGCAATGGATGTGGCTGAAACACCTGAACTCAAAAATTAGGAGGGGTGTCCCAATAATTTTGATAGTGTATCTAATCACTTTAGAAATATCTCATACGTCTCTCTCTATTTAATGGTCATTTTGTCTGGGAA